GCGTCAATCATGTACTCGAGCCCCTAAGATGGTCATGGGTGAACTATAACATCAGACGACGACCATTACACTAGCATGTGACGCCTGGTGACAAAAAGAACAAGGATATTTTGTAACCGTTAAAATGTTGGTTTTCTATAGACTACCATGATAGGGCATATTCTAGCACCCTTACTTTCATGGAATTCATGGCCAGGACTTTGATTTCCATTTTCATGTCATCAGCAAGGAATGCCTTATTGAAAGATTGATTCGACAGTATCTCTGAGGTCAGCATAGTGTGCAATCTCCTGCTTCCTTCCCACGCAGTGATAATACCCGTTTATCGACCTTGAAAGGAAGAAAGGCCAATGACCCTGACCGGGTTTCGAGCTCGGAACTCGAGATCTCTCATTTTTGAGTCGGAGACTCTAATGGCTGAGCAATCTCGGTAAGAAGGAAGGTGTCGTAAATTATTTCCTCAAGAGAATTCATGATTATGACCAAGATTGATTTCCTCCGCAATCGAAGTTGGTACTTCCAGAGTTTGAAGCTGACCACTGCCCCATGGTCGAGTTAAAAGTAGATCTTCGTTCAGGATACAGTTGTTCCTTCTCCTACGATCAAGTTTATAATGCCTTAAAGCAAAAGAGTTGAAAAGTCAGTGTGTACAATGGATTTACAAGGTAAAAATTTTCTGCCAACTTCAAGGGTTCAGGGTGATGTTCACGGCAAGGAAACAACTAATAACTTTTGTATTATGTTTTTTATGCACCAGTTTTTGATTCTGTCTTCGATACAACGACAAATGCTTAGACGTACAACTACAACTTTGCTGTAATACTATTTGCGAAAAATGTACATAATTTTATTCATGCACTTCTCCAACAACGAATAAAGACCAAGCTAAGTAAGAGGCATTGTAATGAAGGTCGTGGTTCAGAAATCCGGATTATATTCCGGAGGTCAACAGCAAAGTTCAGCTTTTATGCTCTTGCTTTGTATGTTCTTGCAGGACAGGGGCAGTAGAGAGAATCAGGACCTGGTTTACCTTCGATTCCTGGCGGTCCAGGGTCACCGGGTTCACCAGGTGGGCCAGGGGGACCCATTTGACCCTGAAAGTTAGGAGTTTAATTCTGAATAAGATATTATTCAATTGCAATATTACCTGCTTTCCTGAAGGTCCAGCTGGACCTATGATACCAGGCTCCCCTGGTATTCCTTTTGGTCCTTGGTGACCGATATATCCTTGCGGACCTTTCTCACCTCGCCGCCCAATTCTGACTATTTTGTCGCTTCCAGGGCGACCACGAAGACCATCCCTGCCTGGCCTACCTGGTATTCCTGGTTGTCCTGGCTTTCCAGGTAGTCCTGGGCGAGGTAGTCCAAAATAATCTTTTCCCCTGGTTCCACGATCGCCCTTCGCTCCAGTTTCTCCAGGCGGTCCAACAGGACCTATAAACTTAGT